TGTCTGTAAAACATGATTAATGTTTTAGATGTCAGAATTTACAATAAATCTTTTTTTGTACTTGGAAAAAATCATATTAGCAACCTAAAATAACATATATTTGAGTGAAAATATACCTCTAAAGATAACCACATCTGGTACCCTGAAAATACAGGCAGGGGTAAGAAAAACACTAGGGCTCCTCTGCACAGGTCGAAATTTCCTAAGATTCAGAATCACAACAAATCAAAGAAAGGCTGGATAAATGGAATTGCATTGAACTGAAGAGTTTCTTCATGGTTAAGGACATAGCAAGCAAGAAAAATAGAAAGCCCCCAGGATGGGAGTGCATCCAACAAGACCCTCTTATCTAAACTACTTAAAACTCAAAAATTTAAACACCCCAAAAATAACTTCTCAAAGAAACAATTAATAAATGGGCTAACGACTTAAAGAGAGACTTTTCAGAAGAAGTAAGAACGGCCAACAGACGCATGAAGAGATGTTCAATATCTCTGCCATGAAAGAAATACAAATTAAAACTAAATTGAGATTCCATCTCACTGCAGTTAGAATGGCAATTATCAAGAAAATTAACAATAACAAATGCTGACAGGGATGTGGCCAAAAGGAAACACTACTACACTGTTGGTAGGAATGTAAACTTGTTCTACCACACTGGAAAGCAGGTGGAGGTTCCTCAAAAGACTCTATATAGAGCTTCACTATGACACAACAATCTCACTCCTGGGCATTTATCCAGTTGATCACAAGCCAGGTCACACTAAAGCCACTAGCTCAACCATGTATGTTGCAGCATTGTTTACCATAACTAAGATATAGAATCAGGGGCTGGGAAGTTGGCTCAGTGGTAGAGCACTTACCTTGCATGCCTGAGGCCCTGGGTTTGATTCCTCAGCACCACATAAGCAAAAAGAAAAAAGCCGGAGTGGTGCTGTGGCTCAAGTGGTAGAGCGCTAGCCTTGAGCTGAAGAGCTGAGGGACAGTGCCCAGGCCCAGAGTTCAGGCCCCACGTCCGGACCCAAAAAAAAAAAGATATGGAATCAACCCAGATGCCCTTCCATGGACAAATGGGCCAAGAAAATGTGACACACACACACACACACACACACACATTAGAAAGAATGTCATCTCCCCATTCAAAAGGAAGTGGAAAGACTTGGAGAAAATTATAATAAGCAAAGTAAGCCAGACCCAAAGAAACATATGTTACGTGGTTTCCCTCATTTGTAATCATTGAAATGTGGCTATAAATCTGTAAGTAAACCCAATGGATAGTAAAAGGCAAAAAGTTATACTTGGACATGATAGATTAAACAGGACTCTAAATATTCACACAGTGAGACCAAAGGAGGGTGTTCTTAGGAGAGGATCACAAGGGCTCAATAGCTGTGTGCATCTGATCATATGAAATGATGCTCATTGAAATGAACTCCAAGAAGTGGAAACGAGATTTTTTTTCGTAGTTGTTTGTTTTTCTTCAATTTTCTCCACTCTATTTGATTTCTGTACCATTTGTCTTGTAGGTAAGCCCAGAAACTGTACAACAAAAGGGCAAAGTAATTCTGCAGCAATACTCATTAGACACTATGTTGAAAATGAGCTATACAATTTGGTGGGGGTAGGGTTGGGGGTTTGGAGGGGCAATACTGGGAGAAAATGAGGGAAGAGATGACACTGTTCAAAAGAAATGTACTCAGTACCTGACACAGGTAACTGTAACCCCTCTGTACATGACCTTTACAAAAATAAAATAGTGTAGCATTTGCATGTAAAAAAAATAACCACATCTGGGATCCTATGGAGTATTTTCCTATTAATATTAGTACTTATAGAGGATATTGATACCAATATTACTGCATGTGATTGTCTCAAGTTTGTTTGTTTTTTGTCGGTCATGGGGCTTGAACTCTGGGCCTGGGTGCTGTCCCTCAGCTCTTCAGTTCAAGGCGAGCGCTCTACCACTTGAGCTACAGCACCACGTCCGGTTTTCTAGTGGTTTTATTGGAGATAGGAGTCTCACGGTCTCTCCTGCCCGGGCTGGCTTTGAACCGCGATCCTCAGATCTCAGCCTCCTGAGTAGCTAGGATTACAGGCGTGAGCCACCAGCGCCCGGCCTTGTCTCAAGTTTTGTAGGTGATACAGGCTCACAATTGTAGACACACAGATGATAGGTCAGGGAGGCAAAAGTAATAGATTTTCTAAGATTTGGTGGCTCACAGTTTGTGTACATCATAATCCAGTCTTCACTAGATAGCAGACATCTAAAAGGAATGATCAAAAACAAGAAACATCTCTTAAGAATGAGAATTAAGTTGAAGCTTTTAAATTAATTTAACTTGTATTTGAAAATGCATGAGCTGCTGTGCCTTTTTTCATAGACCATTAGAGGGTTTTTAGCGTAAGGTAGTTTTATATAAAGTAAAGTGGGAAATAGGACATTACAAAGATTAGGAGAAAGATTTTTCTAATTATAATGAATTTGTATCAGGTCAAAATTCTTGGTTTTATTTAGAGAGTAACATATATCTTCAGACTGATTGCACTTAATCTTTTAAATAACTATTTCTTAAAAGTTGAAAACACAAGAAATGTATGAAATGAATTAAAAGTTACTGAGGTATAATTGTATATTCATATACATAGAACAGTTTTATAGAATAATTCCATAGAATCATTAAAGCACAAATGTTTGTATGTCATCAACACTCTTTAGTTATGCTTAGAAATGCAAATTGATTCTTCTTGCTGGTAAACAAATTAAACTGAGCAGTGGTTTATGTTTGTCACACATTTTAGCTCAATGACTTGATTAACGATATTTTGCTCTGAGTCATTTTGAAACAAAAATTAAAAATAATTCTATGATAAATGCATTTTATTTATATTTTATTTATTAGCCTGACCTATTTTCAGCTATGAAGGATCTTGAAAATCAGAGTTTTCTGCAGATATCACTCAATTAAAAATTTCTGAAACCAAAATACCTAAAGTAAATACTAAAATCTTAGAGATCTATAATTATAAGCTGTAAGTATTTCCACATAAAGAAATTATTTTTTCCATATCCTTGATTTAAAATTTAGTGATTGTCTTGTTCAAATTAGGGAAATTACAGTAAATATTTCAAAGACTATAGATATAGTAGTAAAATGTTTCTAGATGAGGAAACAAGGGGAAAGTGAAACTGTAAGAAAATTAGATATTTCATCTTTTCTTGTATTTATAAAAGTAATTTTAATTTGAAAATGATTTTCAGATTAAAAATTGAATAAAAAATTAAAAACTGGATTTAAAAATTATGTTTTAAAATCATTTCTTCTATTATTGGCTATAAGTTAGGAATCTAAGAGCAGGGAATATGGGAGAGCATGTCCTGTAGAGAGACAAACACTGAAAATGTCCCATAAGGAGGAACCTCTGTGTGTGTGTGTGTGTGTGTGTGTGTGTGTGTGTGTGTGTGCGCGCGCGTGCGCCTGGGCACTGTCCCTGAGTTTTTTTGCTTAAGGCTAGTGCTCTATCACTTGAGCCACAACTCTACTTCTGGCTTTTTGGCGGTTACTTATAGTTAGAAGTCCCATGGACTTTCCTGCCAAGGCTGACTTTGAAACATGATCCTTAGATCTCAGGCTCCTGAGAAGCTAAGATTACAGGCATGAGCCACCAGCACCCAGCTTTAGAATCATTTTTTAAGCAGTTGATTAGAAATAATCATTCATTCAGAATGAAACATTGTGATGTAAAAAATAACCAACTAGAAATTTTGGAAAAAAGACATAATAAGTAAAACAAAATATTCAAGCAGAATAAACTCTGGATAAATCAAGCCAAAGGGAGAATGCATGAAGCAGATAAAAAAGAAAATAAGTATTTCACCCAAAGACAACATAGACAGAATTAACAAATTGAGAGTTAATTAAAACTAGAAGAGTAGATTGAGAAATTGCAGTACTATGTTACAGGCAATGTGAATTTAAAGAAGCATGTGAGTTTTGAGATTGAAAGGTCTTGTTGGGTGCTATGAAGTACACACAAAAACAGACACCTAGGGAGACTGTATGGAACTTGCAAAACCTCACAGCCACATTGAAAATTGTACAACCTAGCATAAAGAAAATGAAGATTCTTTAACTGTAAGCACTGTTAGATGGACAGCATAATTCTCATTAGGAACAACAAACGCCAAAAGCAGGATTATAGCTGAACTTGGAACACTAGTGAGAGTAACTTAGTCAAGTTAAACTGAGCCAATATATGTATTTAAACAGCTAAAAGAAAATTATTTCTTTCATAGCTGACTCTGGTAGGTGTGTTTATTTTTCCCGTCAGGTTATCCTTGGTATTCGGAAAGACTTTGTATGGTCCATACTATGCTCAGATGTACATGTATACCCTGCTGTCGAGTTGTTTGAAATCTGTATGGGAGCTCATGAACAGGGTATTTTTCAGAACTTGTTACCCTCTTTACAATACTAAGAAAACACATTGCTGTACGAGGCCATTGGAATGAACTGTCATTTCCAGTGGTAATGCTATTATTTGTGTCCACATGCTACTCTATTATTAAGTGAGGCATAACAACGTACCATTCTTTTATTTTCTCATTCTTTACCTGAGAAGTTTAAAGGTTAATAAATAGGAATAAACTAGAACTAAATTTACACACTGTGGTCTGTGAGTAAAATGAGCTGCAGTAATTAAAATACCAAGGATTTAAGTTTCCGTTCTTTGAAATTACACATCCATGCTCATTACAATTTCTCAAAGAGGAAGAGTGGATTGAATCATACCTGTGGTTGTTGATGCCTGTATTTGTCACAGGAGCATGAAAAACAGTTTTACAAGGGGAAATACTAACAAAGGACATTTTACTTTAGAATCAGTGCAACTGCAGGTATACACACTGGTTTCCAAGGTATAAATAAAGCCAAAGGAGGGCAAATATGTCTTTAAAGTTCTAATCTGAGAGTTAACTACAAAAATTTAACCTTTCTTGGCAGGTTTAGATCCAGATAAACATCTTGGTAAAACCCTGACTGAAATGGAGCCTTATCTCTTAGAGGTAAGAATTTGTACAAGTTTTCAAAATATTAGGCACCTAAGGGAGGAGAAAAATAGTCATGTGGTGTAATGATTATAAAAATTATTCTTGTTTTAGAAAAAATCCAAATACATTTAGTATATGTTTTCTGGAAGATAGAATGTCCAATGTTTATGAAAATAAGTTTACAATCATGAAAATACTTCTAGTCTGTTGACTGAAATACCTTTTAGGTATGTCCAAAATTTTCTTTTATTAAAATGAGTATTGTGTACCATAAAAATAATACTACTATAAAGTATCTCAGAATCTCTATAGTCAGATATTTGTCTATCAGAAACAGCAGTGAAACATCCTTTGAAGATCTATTCTGATCTCTCTCTTACCAATTAGAAGTTAATTTGCTAAGTAGTGAAAAAAATTATACCAGGTTTTAGATGACCCTGTTTAATGAGGTTTCAGAAGACCCTGTTTAATCGTTATACTTTTCAAATCCTGAATGAGCACTTACACATAAAAAATATTCTGTTATTTTCATTTACTCTTTTCTGTTAATTGTATTTGATTAGTTTGGGAAGAGAAATGTTAGGTTTTGTACGGCAAATCTTCACTAACTAGAAGAGGATAATGATACCATGTGGATTTTTTACTTCACAATCGAGATGGAGAAAAAAATCACTCTGCTTCTATGAGAGAACTGCACGTCTAAGAAGTCATAATTTTTTGCCAAGTCCCTAACTTTTTGATTCTATGTCTAGCCATTGTTAATGCCATTGGAATGATATAATTGCTATTACCAAATGTTGATATTTCCTGAAATATTAATTCCTTATTTCATTAAGGATTAGTAAGTGCTTAGTATTAACTGGGTAGATTGCAGAGATTAAAAGAGAAATGAAATAATATGTAATTGTGACAAATTATGTTTGGTTCCTAGATGGTTGATATCATGTATTTAAGTTAATCTATAAGATATGATTGCTTTCCTTGTTCTTCTGGTATGATTACTCTCAGCAGTTAGTTTTGTGGCCGCCATTGTATTTATGTTCACATCTGTTCACTATCCTCAGACTAAATTTAGCTTTTAACAAAGCAATTAAACAACGGGGCTGGGGCATCACTCAAGTGCCAGCATGCCTGAGAGCCTGGGCTCAATCCTTAGTACTGCAGAAGAGAGAGACTGCCAGAGTGGGTGGGGACTCTCAGAAAGAGAGAGTTTGGGGGCAAAAATCACTTCTTGTAATTTACCTCCAAATTTTGAAGCTTCAAGTTCAAAATACAACTCATATTTCAAGCATGTAGAAAAAGCCAGTAGGTAGGTTGACTATAGGTAACAACCAAGAACTCTATTTCTTCCGGGCACTGGTGGCTCATGCCTATCTATAATCCTAGCTACTCAAGAGGCTAAGAAGCTAAAAACTCCCGGGTTCTTTTTGCTTCTAGAATTTAGGTCCTTTTAGGTCCCTTCTCCATTGTGTTTCCAAAATATTGTTTGCAAAATGCAATCATCAGGTGAGTTTTCTGCTTAACAACTCTGTCCCCTCTCCTAGATGAGGGCCCTCACTGGGTGGCGTGGGAAGGCCCACACCGCCTGTCCCCGCCAGCTTCCAGGGTCACTCACTGCGTCCTCTCCTCGTCCACCCAGCAGCTCCATACTGGAGTTTCTACTGCCTTTGTATGCTCTGTAGAACTTGAGCGGGAACACGCCTTCCCGCCCCAGGCCTCACCATTGCATGTCTCCTCTTTTCTGGCAAACATCTTTCAGCGCTTTAGCTTGAGTTTTATTTGTAGAGGCCTTTAGAATTCCTTGCAGACATTTCCTGATTTGTATTGCCTACTATAGATTCTTATGAATCTGCTAAAAAAACAAAAACAAAAACCAAAAAACTACTTCTTACTATAATTGTTCCTTTAATTTTTTCTTTCTCCTTCCAAACAGTAAATTGTTGTATGCAAGCACATATCAGTTAAATTTAATGGATTCACAACAGTAGCCTGACTAAAAAAAATCAAGGAAGTATGCAACTATATATAGGAAACCCTTCCAGCAGTGGTAGAAGTAGAACATTAAAGGAATAACACTTCCCTTGAGCCACCAGGGTGTCGGATGAGGAGGAATTCAGGCAGGGGAAGTTCCAACAGTCAGAGGACGGCAATGGACTTGGCGTCTGCCGTGACAGCCTGTGACATGCTGCCCAGCACTGTGCTGCTCACCATCCGCCCAGGACCGGCTTCTCTTGGCCCGGGAACTGTTTCAGGACCATGGCTTATATTTACTGCAAATCAGAGACCTGTCTTCTTGCTTGCCTGTTGTTAAATTTCAGGTTTCATTAGGCAACTTTGCATTCCATTCCAAGTGCTTTTTAGGCCTTTTATAGCTTTGTAACTTCACAGATTTTAGTATCCTTGAAACTGTCTTAATAAACGTCATAACCATGTATGCGACTTCATTTTCTTCACATGCCTTAAGGTTCTCCAAAAGCAACACATTATTTTTCCTTCCACATAAAGGTCAAAGGGTAGGAGACATAGATTGTCAATTATACCTTCATATACTACATAAAAGTTTATTTTCCCTTTGGATCTAAAGATAGTATCCTCTAAAAATATATACTAATAAGTTTTGTCATTTTGAAGAAAATTTAATGGATTCAGAATCTCTTACACATTTTGAGATGATTTTTCTGTTGTATGTAATCTTTTGGAGTCAGTGACTACATGGAATTTCTAAGATGAAGTAGGATAGTGGCATCTTGTGTGTAGTTTTAAGTTTTCTCCTCTTTGATCGTCTCTCATTGGCAGCTTTCTAAGAAGTATGGAGTCCATGTGTGTGGAGAAGGTGGAGAATATGAGACGTTCACTTTGGACTGCCCTCTATTTAAGAAGAAAATAATTGTGTAAGATTTAATTTCAGCATTTCTCTTAAATTTATGTAATAGTAACAACTTAATATTTCGCAGGAGGTGATCTTTGTTGGGAGAAATAGAACAGGTCCTCAAGTTCACAAACACTCAGTTTGTTTAATATTGGTGAAGTCATCCAAACACTTAAATCAATACTCGCCTGAAGAGGCCTTCGGAGAAGGCTATAAACTTTGTAGAGTTGCACTTTGGTTCACTCGCTGATTATGGCCTGCAGTAAAACTGATAACTGCACACTGACACTTTTTAGCTTTTCACCAAGTGTGAATTGCCTGTATTATGTATCTTTCATTATAGTTACTTTTGATAAACTGCCACATCTAGTAGCCTGTGGGTTCCATTAACTCTATCCTTTTTTCTCCTTTCTCTTGGTTTTAACAAAATAGAAAAGTAATACTAGACATTCAATTATTTGGGGTTATTTTTATGTATAAACTTTGTTTTTGTTTTTGGTTTGTTTGGTGCCCGTCCTGGAACTTTTAACTTAGGGCCTCGGTGCTGTCCCTGAGCTTTCATGCTCAAAGCTAGCTCTCTGCCATCTTGACACACAGCTCCACTTCCAGCTTAAACTTTGTTTTTAACACTGCATTGTCTAGAGTTCAACTGGAACATAAAACCATCACCAGCACTGGTTTTGTAAAGGACAATTGAGATTTTGTGTGTGTGTGTGTGTATGTGTGAAACATTGAATCACCTCTTGAAAAATGAAAAGAATAATGAAGATAAAGCACAAATCTTTAATGTTTAGCCCATACCAAGCAAATTTGTGAAAAAGAAAAGGAATGAAGTCTCAAAAGTTGTTCAGAGAGCTTTGAGTGAGCTTAAACGTTTAATTATGTGTCATTAAGTTCTGTACTCTTGGCATGACGTATTGAATTAGTGTGTAGTGTTCTCACTATACACTGTGTGCCCGTGGAAGCACATGCAGCATTGGGGGGGGGGGGGGGGGGGGGGGGCGGTGACTTGCCATAATGCCCATCATCGGTAAATGCATTATAAATTACCTGTGTTTCAGGGACTCCTGGGAAGTAGTTGTCCATTCGGATGATGCATTTGCACCTGTGGCCTACCTACGCTTTTTAGAGGCGCACTTGGAAGACAAGGCAAGTCACCTCAGCAGACAGTTATTTTCACACACGTATGAGGCAGGTGCACTGCTGGTGCATGTGTGACTCCACAGGTAGAGAACCAAGTTCATCTCAGTAGCTAAGAATTTACACATACTTCTGGTTTTGAGAGCTCTGTATGACACACGGACACTGTTCCAAAGAGCTGTCAGGCCTGTTGAAAAGTGAAGAAGTCATACCTCAGTGGATGAGAAGACAGTGGGCAGTATAAAACCGAATGTGCACAGCCATTAGAGGAAAGATTTAATGATGAGTTGAATCTTCATTACACAGCTACAGGACAAAAGGAGGGAAACAGCTTTTATGAAAAGATCCAAGGGAACAGATAAGGCCGTGGGGTGGAAGAGAAAGTTTACAGGTAAGCCGAAAGAACAGTGGAGTTTGATCAAGAGCAGCAAAACAAACACTTAAAGATGTCTTGAGCAACAAGTGAAAATCCGGATCCGATTGCAGTCGTTTTATATTTGTCATAGAAATGATAAGGACAAATAAGCCTGTAAATGAGAGTAGTGAAGGGGACAGTCCTCCTCATGTTCTCCCCTCGTGAGGCACACGCCGAAGTCTGTTTATGCGACCGTGAGTCTGAAGGACCAAGAGGATAAGTAAGGGTTCTCCAAAAGTAGGGAAAGAACCTTGGTGAGAGTTTGCATAGTACAGTGTAGTATCTCCAGAAAAATTAGGGTGAACAGCATAGAAAACAGGTCATTAAAATGGACTGAAAGTTGATGGCTGGTGGCTTTTGTCTCAGAGGAGCTGAATAACTCTCGGAAAATGGAGTGACAGTGTCCAAACCTCTGCGAGAGGCACTGACCGGGCCTTACTACTCTGACACCATGTGCACACGTGGACAGTGAGGACCGCCGAACTCCCGTGCGGCCGCTCCTCACACCGTGTGCGCGCGCAGCTCCCTGCTGGCTTCGTGTGCCCCATGCACAGCACAGAGTGACACCTCTAAGGTGTGACGCATTTTCCTTTCTTTTTCTTTTAGGTGTTTCCTGGTCCTGACAACTACAGAACATCCAATGATAGACACAATTCATGAAAGTGACATAGCATTTTTAAACTATGATGCCAACCTTTTCCCTTTCCTTTTCTTTTTTACTTAGAAAATGACACCTTTTTCAAGAAGAAATTAACAGAACCATTGCTTAGCTGTAAAAACATCAATAGCTTATTCCTTCATATTGACAACTTCCTTTGGATTTGCCCTTTCTCTTTATTTAGCACTTCCTCTCTATGGCCACTTCCTGGAATGTGTCTCTTGATTTCCCTTTTTCTCGCATGGTACATTTCTTTCAGAACTCTTTTTTTCTTCTTCCTCTCTTCCTTGCTTGCACCCATCTCTAGCAGTTACATCAGAATGAAGAGTAATTCAAATATAGATATGAATAAAGAAGTGACCAACCTAATCAACTTCCTCTATTGGGTGTCAATTTTGTGTTTAACATATGCATGGTTCATGAGTTTCAGCATTCCTAGACAATCAGGAAGAGCTATAACTTTCACTGCTCATGTTAGAAGTGATTTTAAATAGAAGTTTAATAATTTTACCCATATTGACCTTTTAAATAATGGATTTATTTTTTCAAGTGGCTTTTGGTTCCAGCAAAACTGAGTAGAAAGTAGAGTGCTTTCTACTCAGGTATACTCCCTTCCTCCACAGCAGCACAGCCCCTTGGCCAGCTGGAGTGGGACGCAGATGAGCTAGCTTTTATGTATCCTTATCCTCAAAGGTCTATAGTCTACATTACAGTTCACAGTTAGCAGTTTGCATTCTGTGGGATTTGACAAGTGTCTAGTGATGTTGAGTAGCACACAGAATTCTTCTACCCAAACTCCTCTGTGCTCTCCCTATTCCTTCCGCCCTCTGTGTTATCCCCGGGCGGTCTGTGTTTGCTTTTCTGGCTCTATGGCAGGGAGTTGAAATCATACAGCATGTAGCCTTTTCAGATCAGCTTCCCTTCACCTATTGGTGTGCTAATGGTTCCCTGTATCTCCCTGTGCTGGAGAGCCTATTTCTTGTTCGTAGCACACACACTCATTCCATTGTCTGTATATGTGAGAGTTGCGTTTATCCCCTCATCTCCTGATGGGCATCATGATTGCTTCCACGTTTGGCAACTACGAATAAAGCTGCTGTATGCATCCAAGTGCATGTTTTGGTGTGATGTAGGTTCTCAGTTTGTTTGTGTAATTACAGGGGAGCATGATTCATAGACTGTAAGAGTATGAGAGTTTAGCTTTGGAAAAAACTCCTGTCTTCCATCATAGCTGTACTGATTTGACTTCCTCCCAGTAGTAATGAATGAAAGTTCCTTTTCTTCCACATCCTCACCAGCTTTGGATGTTGTCCATGTTTCAGACTTCAGTTATTCTAATAGGATGTTATGTTGCCTCATTAATTGTCTTGGTGTGCAATTATCTAGATGTATTTTGTTGAGCATCTTTGCATATTTTTATTTTCTGTATGTATATCTTCTTTGCTGAGATCTCTCTTTAGATCTATAGCAAATTTTTAAATTGTGTTTTTATTTTCTTAATATTATGCTTTAGAGTCAGTATATTCTTGCAATAGTTCTGTATCAGATATGTCTTTTGCAAGTATTTTCTCCCAATCTGTAATTTGTGCTCTCATTCTCATACTGGTGTTTTTAACAAACCAGACATTTTTCATTTCATCAGATCAACTATTCAATAAATGGTTTCATGGATTATGCCTCTTCTATATTTAAAAGGCGATTGCCAAACTCAAGGTCATCTACATTTTTTCCTATATTATATCTAGGAGTTTTACAGCTTTATATTTTACTTTTAATTCCAAGATCCATTTTGATTTAATTTTTGTGAAGAATAATATATGTATATATATTCATTCAACAATCATTCCTGCAGCATTTATTATAAGGAATATCTTTCTTCCACTACATTGTTTTCTGGAGCATTTGTGAGGTCTAATTTTACTTGTCTTTTTTTCTAATACAACAATGTTCTAAGTACTATACCTGTACAGTAAGTCTTAAATTCACATAGTGTCAGAGTTCTGACTTACTCTCCAATATTGTATCAACTACTCAGGGTCTTTGCTTCCCTATAAACATCAGAGTGAGTTTGTTGTTGTCCACAGAATATCTTGCTGGGATTTTGATTGGGGTTTATTGATCTTTAGATCAAGTTGGGAGGAACTGACATGTTGATAATATTGAGTCTCCTTGCCTAAGAACATTAATGTAGAGTCCCACATATTAGTTCTTACAGCTAGCTTCTGTTTATTTACTTCTTATAATTTTTATTTAGGTCATCAACGTTTTGTTTAGGTGTGTTGTTATAACCTAACAAGTAAAAGATGGCCTCAAGGCTCCGCCATTATTCACAAATTTGAATTCATTTAATCTTCCAAATGTATTTTTCCCTACTTTGTTATTTAGCATAAATGTTTCTCCTTAGAAACTCAGGCAGAAATTATTGGCATCATCCATTAACCTACCTTTCATTCACTATTCGCTTAATGCTGTAATCCTTTATATTGTAGTTCTATTTCTTTTTCTTCTTTAATTTTTCTTTATTTATTTTTTATTATGAAAATACTGTACAGAGGGGTTACAATTACATGGGCAAGCATGTAATTATCAAGCATTGTAGCCTCCTCCTTTGTTTCCCCTTCCCATTCCTTCCCATCCTCTCCTACCCCCTCTCACCAAATCCTCCCCCCCCACCAAAGTTGTAAAGTTCTTTTTTCAACATAGTTCTAATATTTCGTACACCAGCATCTCCCATTAAAGTTGTATTTTGCCCAAAGTTCTATGAGTTGTCTAATTTTACAATCTTAATATGCAATTCTACTGCCATATTGAATTTTCTTTCTACTATTGTTTCCAGCACAACATTTCCTGATCACATTATTTTCTAAATGCATAAAATTATTAGCCAACAAAGCCAGGCACCAGTGGCTCACACCTGTAATCCTAACTACTAAGGAAGCTGAGATATGAGGATCAAGGCTCAAAGCCAGCCCAGGCAGGAAGGTTTGTGAGACTCTTATCTCTGATAAATCACTAGAAAACCGGAAGTGGTACTGTGGCTCATGTGGTAGAGCACTAGCCTTGAGCTGAAGAGCTAAGGGACAATGCCCAGACCCAGAGTTGAAGCTCCATGACCGACCAAAAAAAAAAAAAAGCCATTAATCAGCGGCCCATGTGATACATTGCTGTAATATATAACTTTCCTTAGTCCTTTTTATCAGGGCTGTCTTGAATGTATTCTTCGCTCTTAACCATTGGATATCATGTCTTTTCTTCCTTGCCTGTACTTGTTCTGTCTCTTCCACTTTGCTTTCTTCCCTTTCTTTAACTGCTTACAACCTACTCATGATATAGGGTCGAATTCAAATGCTGTCATTCGTTTAGTCATACAAGCTAAAACTATACCAACACTTTGTTTCTTCACTTTTTGTAACATAACTTCATTCAGCTTTATGTCATTGCTTGATTAATCTGGTGGTCTGTGCTCGACAATACATGAATGATTGACCATTTCTGCTGGATGGCACTGTTTTGAGGACTGATTCCTTCCCATCTGTATAACCTCTGAATCAGCTCTAAATTAGTTCTAAAGATACTAGCTAACAGTTCAAAAATTAATTGGTTATTTTCATACTTCATTTTCCTATTCCATATGGAGTCCTAGAGATATATCTTCATTTTGTATTGCATACATATTTTATGACTCACTTTTCCTTTTCTTTTATCTCACTATTAAATAAAAATTCTTTAAAGGAAACTAGGATGTAAAATCACAATGTTTAGAGAGATTATTGAACATTTTAAGATATCATTTGGGCTTTTACTTTATATATGAGAGCCTCCATTAGCTTTTCTATTGAATATTTAGTTAAATTTTACCTTTAAATTAAAATCTTAAATTTTATGAGTATTAAAATGATAACAACTGAACATAGAATCGCCACCCCTCAAAAAAAAATGGAAGGCTTAGGTTGAAAATGGGAAAATACATTAAAATTTCTGTGGTACTCTGAGTTTATTGCTTGTGGCAAACTTGATGCTAAAATGTACCATACATCACTGCAATGACAAGCCTGAGAAAATGAAAAATACAAAACTTTACATAAATCAACCATAGGATCATATTGAAATGTATAACCTTTAACAGAAAATCAAGTTTTTAGTTGTAACTACTCCGAAACTTTTATATAGTTGTTTTAGATTTTAAAATAACTTTATGAGAAATAGTATTTCAAATTAATTGTTGGCAAAGCCAATGTATTTATAAAGAAACAAAGGTCACAGAAATATAATCTCAATTTTATTACCATCTCTTACTAAATTTTCCTTTTTGTAGAAATAATCTTTGGAGCACTAATATTCTATGATCACTTAGCATATAACTTTCTGTTGCAGTATTCTCTGAGGGCAATTACATGTTTTAAATAATTATAAAAGCTCAAGTTCCTAATACTTAAAAGTTGTAAAGACATTATTAGTCTCAGCCCACTTTTTACTTTTTTTTCCATTCTTCAAACCTAAAGGTTTGTCACCAAATACTTTGGGAAGCATTTTAACATTAAATGCCCTCTCTGTGCTTTTTCTTCTCTTTTCAATCTAACGTTCATCTTTGGGTTCCCACTCTGTTTTAAAAAGTGTGAGATCTACAGCAAATTCTCCATAGGCGCGTCTGGGTTACATAGTCGTCGCGGTTTTATCGTGAAATCCCAGTCCTTGCTGGCACTCGCTGCCCCGCTGCTGTGATCACAGGACAGCTATCGATCACTGTTGGCCCAGTTCACGCCAGGGCCATGGCTGTGCCACACTGTTGGCCCAGCATGATGGTCCTACGGAGTGGTAAAGGCAGGAAGCCTGTGTCTTCATGTATAGATGAGGATAGTTAATGAAGATTCATGTCTGGCACTGGTGGCTGTTTTAGCCTAGCTACTGAGGAGGCAGAGATTTGAAGATTTGGTTTGAGTCCAGTTTAATCAGAAAGGTTTACTACACTTCATCTTCAAGATAACTAATGAAAAGCAAGAACAGAATTGTGGCTCAAGTGTCAGGGCACCAGGCCCTGAGTTCAAACCCCAGTATCATGAAAATGTGACTTTGCTTTGCCAACATTTGGTTGAACAACTTCTTTACGCCATCCTGCCACCTTCCAACAGATGACCTTACGCTGAAGATCAGAAGACTGATAAGGTGGAGCAAGGTTTTAGCAGACTTTAAAACCTGATGTGCCATAACTAATTGTTCTATGCCTAATGGGTGCAGCTTGCAACGTGGATGAGTCTTGGGCCTCCAACACTACTGGGTGACCACTGCTACAGAAGTTCACTAGAGCGGTGATCAGTGGTTAAGTGGACCAGACTTCAAGCTGTGTGATTCCTCTCCACCCTCAGCAGGTGTTGTCTTTCTTAGGAGTCAGGAGTCAAACTGGTATCCTAAATCTTGGAATACTTACTAATTTAGTAGAACTACAAAAATAAGCCATCAACTGTTTTCTTCACTTCCTTTTCTACTATTGTTTCTTTAATATTTACTTTGTTGTTTTGCTATTCCATGCAACTTCTTTGTTACTTTAAGACAAAAAGTTCCTGGTGTTTTCCTAAGTGTCAGTTCACTGTCACAAATGAGGAGCACTATGTGATTTATTCATTCAGTACCTATTTACTGAATGTTTAGGGATGAAATAGGAGATTGGACAGGCTAGAATGAGAAAGTTACCTCACTGCCCGATTGGATTCCTGGAAAGAAGGTTCATATGGGAATGTTGAGCTCATAGTGACAGACTTCAGCCCAGATTGAGAGTAGCAATACCAGTCCTTTTGGTTTTGTTGACAGATCATGATTATGAACTTTGGCTGCTTGAGGTAGATTACAATAGGGAAGGGATAGGAGTTAGGTAGGAGCCTGTAGGAGAATCAGGGAACTAGAGGAGATGTCAGAAGAGAGTATCCAGAATGAAGCACAGACAAAAAGAAAAAGAAAATATTCATAGAGGTATAAGAAACAGAGAAACAGGGACAAGGTCTAAAATACATATACTCAGAGTTTGAGAGTAGAGGAAAAATGAAGGTATAAATCTGAAAAGATATTCCCAAAGTGTTTTCCAGAATTGATGAACCATCCAAGGTATAGATCCCAGAAGTCTTATGAACCTCAAACAAAATTTAAAAAAGAGAATGTGTTTAGTGTGTCATGGTAAAACTACTAGAGATAAAAAAGACAAAGAAAGGGGCTGGGAAGGTGGCTCAGTGGTAGAGCGCTTGCCTTGCATGCTTGAGGCCCTGGGTTGATTCCTCAGCACCACATAAGCAGTAAAAGCCAGAAGTGGCGCTGTGGCTCAAGTGGTAGAGCGCTAGCCTTGAGCTGAAATGCTGAGGGACAGCACCCAGGCCTAGAGTTCAGGCCCCATGACCACCAAAATAAATTCATGTGCGTGAGCACACACACACAGAGTATATATTTTTATATATAGCAC